ATGAAGCATGGGGACAGGCCTCCCAATCTTTTCTTTTTTCTCTCCTTTGGCTCATTCTTTACTTATCCTCAGTGTTTTATTGCACACTGCCTTCTGGGTGACAGTCCCGTCCGTTTCCAGGGCAATTCTGTAACAGCAGATTTTTTTTTACAGGCTGTTCTTGGATGTCCCTGACTGAGATGCCAAAGCAGAAAATGCACAAATAGCAGTCTGTCTGGTGCTTTTTACAAATCAGTATGCCTTGGTGGAAGGAAGCAGTGTGAGGCAGTATGGGGCACCTCTACCCGTGCTGTTCCTGTCCTTTAAGTCACTTCCTCAAGCACCACAGTATTTTCTCCTAACGTCCCTTCCTACACATGCACATACATCCTAAATTCCCTGCACAGTTGTATAATTCTAAATTTTCTACGATGGATTCGTTTTGACAATTTTTATCTGATAGTGCCATTGCAAACACATTTACTAGAAATTTGGATTGTCACAAGCTTGGCATAACCATAATAGCACAATGTTACCACAACAGCACAAAGTTCTAATGGCACAACAAGGCACAGTAGGGAAATCACTGCACTGTTCCATGGTGTACAGGAACTTTTTAAATCCAGGACTGGGATGTGGTCTTGAAATGTAATGGTGTATTCCCTGCTCACTGCACTCAAAATGACCGTGTGTGGGTTTTGTTGGCTCATTCTGTCTTCTTGATACAACCTCTGTAGTGCTAGCTGCTCTCTGGAGTTTGCATTCTTACTGACTTGAGCTACTTGTAAGGATGCAACAGGGTGAGAAATTAGGATTAAACCCAAAGGAGTCTAAAGCTAAGGAGATTTTAACCACTGAGAACATGATGATTTTTCTGTTAATAATGAAAAAAAATCAGATCACATTTTATTTAAATTCTATTCTATTTAAATGACTTGGAGTTGCGTATTGAAAAATCTTCCAAACCGTTGACTCTAATTTTTACCTAGAGTAGTATCACTGAAATTTCAGTTATTTGAAATAATCTCATGTAAAATCTAACTGAATAAAATAGTTCAGTCCTTTTTTTACTCTGATAGTCCTGGCTAACTTGCAATATCATGAGCATAAGAGATTTCTTAAAATGTGTATATATTTGAAATTTATGTAATGTTTAAATACAACTTGGTTTCTAAGTAAGCAGCAAGAACAAAATTTCAGCTATTTTTTCTACTCATAAATCTACACTTTGTAAGTAATATTTAAAACAAGTTTACAGTATCAGAGAGCGTTTTTGGAGAAATCTACTTTTCTGTGCAAAAGCTGTAAAAAAGTTCCTCCAGCATGTCAGCTTTCGGTTTATTTTGTGTTTTAAGATTGCTTTTACAAGCAGCTATGTACCCCAGAAGTAAAAGAATTCACTGAGGAAAACATTGTAAATCTGATTCAGTGTTGTAAGACACTTTTGGCATAAATTTGTCTTTGGAATGCTGTTTACTTTATCAAGGTTTACATATAAAATGCAACTACTTGCTGTATCATGCACATTTGATTATTACTTTTTTTTTTCCAGTAATAAACTTGGATATCTTTGAAAAAGGCTGTGAGCTGTATTATTCCAACTATTCAAAGATAATTAAAAGCAATTGTGTACTTGAAAAGTGAGTGCTCATGAGCATTCAAACCATAGTCTTGTAAGAAAGTAATTTCAGGGTCATACTTGGCTCAGGCATTTATAACAATTAAATATTCAATTATTTTGGCCTCAAGGCACGGCTAGACTGAGTTTTAAAATTCGGTCTAGCTGTATAAATAACTATAAAAATATTTTGTTTTTATATAAATATAAAACTAAATAAATTCGTAAGTCCTTTATGTTGTACTGCTTTTACTAGTGACTAACAATTTCTTAATCTCTTGTAGGATTTATCTGTGCCTAGTTTAATAATCTCAGTTTTTCAACCAAAGTGGACAGGCTAGACCTGCCTCTGGAAGAATCAATGGCTCAGGAAGTGGAGAGTAAATTTTTTTTGTATTTGTTTAGGGATTGGTTAATTATAAGGTATTAAGTTAGTTTTTTAATATTTAATTTTATAAATTCAGATATTTTAGGATTTTTAGATGTGTATATTATGGTTTTGTCAAAAGAGTTTTATGATATTAATAATTTTTATAGTCTAAATGTTAATATAAAATTTAAGATTTGTAGGCTGAATAGGGAATGTTTGGTATGAATTGTAGTTTTTTTGTGTGGTTTATGTTTGTGTGTTTGGTTTTTTTGTTTGGGAATTATTGGAGTGAATTTGAGTGTGATAGGATTTTATGGTTTTTGTGGGGATTTATTTGGGTTTTGTATTTGTGGAAATATAACTATAATTTTTGTTTTAAGTTATTTGTGGAAATGGTGTTTTAATTTTTGTTTTAGAATTTTTCATTAACATTGGGTGATTTTTAAAAAATTTCATTTCTGTGTTATTTAAGAAGTGTCTAAAAATTGGAGGATTAGGTTTTGTAAATGAGTTATGTAAAAAATTAAGGATGTATAAAGTTTTGTTTAATTTTATTTCAGGTGTTGTTTGGGTTATTTTTGCTTGTTGATTTAAAATGCATTTTAGAATGTGGTGTGTTTTTTTAATAATTGGTTTGTGAAGGATTGAGGAAAAAGTGTGGTGAATATTTAAATTTATTAAAAATGTGGTTACTTTTTGAGTTGTGTGTGGGGTTATTGTTTTCATTTTTTGGGGTATATTTAATGAAGGAAAAGTTTGCAGAAAGTGTTGGTGAATATGGTTGTTTTTTTGTGTGTAGAAGTAAAAATTGTATTCAAAAAAGTATTACTAGATATATTAATATTTTTAATTTCATAAAAGATTGGTATTTGTTAATATTTGTTTTAGTTGTAAAGTTTATAATTTTTGAGGGTTAACAGTTTTTGTAGAAGTAGGAAGTTGTACAAGTTGATAGTTAAGGTAAGTAGTAATAATGGGGGTTTTTTTGGTTTTTGGAAAAGTGAAATATTTGTGTGTTTGTGTATTTTGATGAAAAAAGGTATGATGTAGTTTTGTTTGTTTGAAAATGTTTGGTAAAGTGTTTGAAATAATGATTGTTTATTTGTTTTTGTAATATTTTTGTTATGAATTTGGGAAGTGAAGAATGTTTTGATATGAGAAGTAAAATATAGGTTAGTTCTGTGTTGCAAAATTGTATAAACATATGAAAGCTAATGATATAAGGTATTATTAATATTTTTTGAATTATTTTAATTTTTTAAATAATACTAGTAATATAATTTGAATTTGTTATTAAATTGAAAGGTTGTGGAAAGGACTGAAAAGTTTTACAATTTTCCAAGAGTTGAAGAGTTTACAATTTTGATAATTGTAAAAACTGGTTTTGGAGACCTGTAAGGAAGAAAAATCTATTTTATTATTAATAAAGGAAATTTTTTAGAATAGTTTTATTCAAATATGAGATTATAAAGTTTTGAGGGTTTTTTTTTAAATGTTGTGAGGATAAAGGGTTTTTGTGGAGTATAATGATGTGATTTTGAAGAGTTTTAGTCATTTTTCAAGGGTTTTTTGAGTTTTAAATGTTGCCTCATCTCGAAGTAAAAAGAAAGCTAAATCTGCCTGTGGAGGAAATGAGAAGATAACTAAACAACGCTGTCATGAATATTTAAATGGAATGGGAATTTCTCTAAGTTCGAGTTTTGCTAGGACTTCTCCTTAAATCTTGCTGGAAGGATGAATAATGAACTGCTGGTTTTGGCCATCGTACGTTGTCGTGTATGATCCATGTGTTGGAATTAGTGTCATGCTGAGGCTGGCTCTTACAAACACAGAAAACACCTGAGCTCAGTGAGCAGCTTTAGCTGTAACAAAATCAGTCCTGAAACAGTTGAAGAAAAGTCCTTCAGGATATTTCTTCAATAGCATTTGAGAGAATGCCATTCTAGCCAACTGAACTCACTTTTTTTCTGGCATGAAATGGATAAATGAAGATTCTCTTGTGGCAAATGGCTTGAGAAGATGCTAAGCCTGTGGTGCATCCAGTGCTGCCAAGCTGTGAAACGATGCTGCTGTAAGTGTAAGCTTTATGTTTCTTAGGAAATGTTCAGGGAAGACCTGGTTGTCTTCAGAGTTCCAGATGTTGAATCAGATACCCTCCAACTATGACTAGAGAGAATTTTATCATCCTCCATCTGACTATATGGCTTCATACTGGTGTTTTGAACCACTTCCACTCAGGAATTACTTTACATCCTTATGAACGGTAGTCAGACTTCCCTAACACAACCTAATCAGTAAGTTGTGTGCCCATGAGATAGAAATGGTACAATAGTATTTACTGAGTTTCCATCTTCACCTTGCTAGCAATCCCAAGTGTGGAAGCAGGAAGGAAAAACATGCCACATGAGACAGCAAGCAGCTGTCTTACAGCCAGGCTCAGCTGTAAGCTTTAATGAGATTATAAAAGCAGTGTAAAAGGGATTAACACAAATATTGACTTGGTTCTCAGTTTCTTGACAAACTGTTCCATGCAAGCAAGGGAGTGTCATTTGCAGACTGCTATTTCTCTTCTCTAGTTAAAATCCTGGGAGTACTTCCAGTGGTAGAGCATGAACCCAGACAGGGGAAGTAACTTCAAGGGACCAGATTGACATACATCTGCATCATAAAGGTGGTCATTGATAAAGCAAAAGCAACAGAAGGGCTCTTCAGAGAAATACAAGCTAAATGTATCAGGTGGGTCCTTGAGTTGGCTTTGCTATTTTCATTCAGCTTCACTCACTTGTGAATTTTGTTCTAAAACAAATGTTTATTGAAAAACTATATCCAGAAGTTAATCAAGGTGAGAGGTGATCTGTTGGCTTTTATTTTCAACCAGCAAATTTTCAAAGAAATATGTTTCACTGAAAGAGAGCGCTGAGTGTGCTCTGCTTTCAAGACAGTGTACCAGACAGATTATTTTGCCTAATTGTGTCTTTTTTTTTCAAAATTCAGCATGAGTTATCAGTTAGGAGGCATGATCACCATTCAATGTTGGTTTTTTTTCTTTATTGCATCATTTTGAGGTGAAAACTAACACAGATGAAGAAGTATCCTGAATTCAAAGTAAAATTTGTTACTCTGTCCTATGGCTTTTACAATGAGAAGCTATAAAGAAAACTTGAATTCCCCAGAGGGAGCAAACACAGTTATCTCAGTGACTGAAAGACCAATCTGGTTTGTATGGGGTTCCTGTGAGGAGATTTTTTGTGGTACTTGGGTGTAGGCTCAGCCTGGCCTCTCTTCTCTCCCTCCATCAGAGGGCAGCTCGCAGACTCACCTTAGTGAGATATCTCACAAACTTCTCTGAAGTCTTAATTGATCTCAAGTTCACTCTTTCACACTCCCTTCAATGACTAGTTGCTGAATAGAGCATGTGATGCAGTTGTATTGTAGCTCTGTCTGAGTGGGAGCTTCCACAACAACATTGATAAAACATTTCTTCTGAAATATCAGTTCTTCCAAAACCCAATTGTCCCATCATTTCCCAGGTCTGCCAAGAGATTTGTGAACAAAAATCTGGCCTTTATTGCTATAGAGAGCAACTGCTCCCTCTTGGTCACCTATAAGCTGGTAAGCGCAGTAAAAGAAGTTATTAATTTCTGAAGCTGAAGAACTAAAGTTTGATTAAACGTCCCTTGTCCCTCAGCTTCTAGAGGCGAGATTCTCTGCTTATATTTGTATATGAATTTTCCTCAGAATTGTAACCACGGATCTGGTGGTTATTTTCTTTGTTGGTATTATTCTTGAAGGTGTTATCTGTTCTGGATTTATTTGCAGCAGCTTCAGGCAGTTTTTTCCCAAAGTCCATCTGAAAAAAAAAAAGAAAATACCTTTGTAGTTTGAAGCCTGTATTCACTGCTTTTTTCCTTTGATTAAAGAAAAATTATGAAAACAGTGAAAGAAGAAAAAAAGTGTTCATTCTGTATGCCTTTTTAATGAGCTACAAAGCCTGGGGGCGTCTGGAGAATAGCTGGCCCTGTTGCTGAGGAGGAGGAGGTGGGAAGGAGCAGCTCAGATGCTGGTGACTGCAGCACTGCCTGGTTGTTGCTCTGGTGTTGCACTGGAGGGCAGAAGCCTCAGGGGTTGTGGTGGTGGGGATGACAGCAGCAAGAGAGCTTTGAGAGTGTGAGTTCTAAAGTCCTTTTCTCTGAGCTTGGTGCAAGGCAATAGCTTGGTGAACTGTCTGGGGTGTCAAGTGCAGTTTTGTCCCAGCAGGGAGGGGGAGATCAGACCCTGTTTTGATGCCTCAGGTTTCAGCTTTTATGTTTTTCAGATTCTGTGCTGCTTTAGTGTGTACTTCTGAGGTTCATATTACGTGTTGGTAAGCTCTCTTCACAGAATAGGGAGACAAAACAATTCCTGCTCCAGCTGGGCACCAAGGACAAATGATCCAAATCTCAGCCCCAAGAGCACAAACCCTGTGGGCTGGAAAGAGAAAAACAAGCAGGATGGGACTGCAGGGGCTAAAGCTGGAATTGGACAATTAACTCCAATAAATGGAACAGAACTGATCCCAGGGAGAGACCCCGTAAGCGCTTGTGCATTTTGGGACCATTTGGGTTCATCTTGGGTGCAGCCCTGGCTGGGCTTTTGTGCTGCCCAAGGTGTGTCCATTGAGGCCTTTTAATAAATCCCTGCTTTATTTTTTATCTTTGTCCAGCCTCTGCTCTAGGTCAGCTTCCCAAGGCATTGGTTCTGTGAGCTCCTGGTTTTCCTGAGGTTTGTTTTTTGAGGGCCTGAGTCCCCATATTTGATGAAAATGGGAACAACAGGTAACTTACTCCTGACCAGGGTTTGGCTGATACCGTTTCTAGTCTGTGCTGCTTATGCAGCATCCCTTGCAGAGATTCAAGAGCAGCTGTTGAAGGCTGGTTATTTCTGTGCTCAGCCCGTGCCCTCACATGGGCACACGGCCGTGTTCCCACGGCTCCTGGGTCTCAGCAGGGCCGAGCTGATGGGGTCAGCACTCACCTCTGGGCTGTCGTGTCGCACACCGCACCAGAGGAGTATTTTGAGTCTTTTGGACCAAAAGCAAAACAGGTTGCAAACTGGCTTAATTAGCACTGGTGGGATGTCTTCTCCTTTACTAGGTCCTGCAAAAAGAAAATAGTACTGAGTCTACGGATAGCTGGGTATGAGCCTTGGGAGCCTCAGACCATGAGATGGGGGAGCAGGATCAGAGCCCACTGCCCTCTTCTGAGTCTGTCTCAAGTCATCTACTGGACTTTTTAAAAGCATTTTAACAGCCAGGTCAGTTGATGCAAAGGTATGATTGTTTATATATGTGTGTGTATATAGATGTCTGTGTATGTTTAGAACACCAACCTGTTATAAAGCTTATCAACAGCCCTGTGATGGCACAGCCCACACAGCCAATGGCACTGAAGTACAGGTAGGACAGGGAGTACCAGGTGTCTGCCAGCAGAGGCCTGTGGAGAGGTGATAGAAGCAGCCAGTGATGAGCATCAGCTGCATTGAAGTTGTTGCCTGACTGGACCAGCACAGTGCAGCTCAAGCTGCAGCTGGTGTGTCATCTGGCACCAGTCTGCACTCCCAGCCTGCCCTGTCAGTACTGCCTGCACCCCAGCTGCAGGCTGGGGGGGCACACTTGGCAAAACATAGGCTTAAGTGGTAACAATAGGAAAAATACCTCTCTGGAGCCAGCGTGGGAGCTGCTGTTAGCAGTGCCTCCGTGCTGTTAGCCAGGGTGCAGTTGAGGGTAGACAGCTGCAGAGGCATGGACTTTGTTGGTGGTGCAGGGTAAATGAAAGAGCCAGTACCAGCCCAAAAAGCCAAGCTGATCCCAACTAAGAGGCCTCCGAGAGCACCCTTGGCAAGTATAGAAAGATACTGTTAAAGATGATACATGCAAAGTGCTTTTCTGTGAATGTGAATTAGCCAGGAGTAGCTAATGATGGGTTACGGTGTAAATAAATTCTGTTCTCTCTCAACTAAGGTATAAAACATGGTGGTTTAGTGGTCTCTGTTTGTAAAAGTTGAAGCAGAAGTGTGCTTAAAGCTGTGATACAGATTTTAGTTCTACTTTTGCCAACCTTGATGGGAATCCCAATGGGGCAATATGGAATGAGCTTTTTTGAATAAAAGAAGGAAGGCAAAGCTTTTGAAATCACTCCGGGAATCCCAAGGCTGGTGCAAGTATTGAATAATATTTTCTTCTTAATGAAACTCAGGGAAAAAAAAATTTAACAAGCCTTCATGTGAATCTAATCACCAGGTATTCCACAGCTGGGTAGACTTAAATTCAGCAGGATAAATTTAGGCAGGAAAAAGGTATAAATAGATCTTGGATCCTAAGGTGCTAAATCTGAAAAGCAGCTCAAGGACCCAAACAATTTTCAGAATTGAGTTTTAACCAAAAAACACCAAGAGATTTTCTTTTAGAACAGGATTTTTGTTTGCTTACCTTCCAGTTAGCACAGGGAAACACAATTCCCAGAGTAAATAATCCCAGCATGGGTCCCCCACACATCCCATGGATGGAGAGGGAAGCCTGTGGGTGCAGAGAAGAAAGAGGAGTTCAGGGCAGCAGCTGAGGGGAAGCATGGCCAGTTCTGATTTTGATTTGTAATATTCACTGGGAAAATGGTGAGGGAGAAGGGATAGGTAGTGATTTCAGGGCACAGTTAGAGAGAATCATGTTCAGCATTGTTTCCTAGCAGTGAGTCGATAATGAAGGAGTTAGGGGATTTTTTTTCTCCCCTACTTATTCTTAGTAAAATGTCCACAGAAATGGTTTGGCTAATCTAGCAGCCACCAGAGCTGGCAGCATTATTTGCTCAGCTCGTTGCATTTTTTGTTCATTCCTATTCTGTTAATTGCGTTTCTGAAGCAAGAAATACCTGCACGACTCCTCCCAGCAGGGATGCTGCTGCAGCCATGGAAGTGCACAGGACACCGTACAGAACACCTGGAAAAGGCAAGGCAGGGAGGTTCTCAGTGCTGGGTAATGGTGGGGATGGCTTCTAGCTCAGTAGTGTCTGAGGTGACCTGCCAGCAGAGAGGAATTGGCACGTCTTATTGGGTGTTTAGAGTAGACCATTACACACCCAGCAGTGTCTTGTATGAAGTCTTGTTGGCTGTTTGGTGGATTGATATTTCTTACAGAGTAGAACAATAGCAATAAAATTAATTTAGAAGTTATGCCTCATACAGAAATGTTTCTGTTGCCTTTAAGTATCACTTTTAAAATCTGATAAATGAATTGAGAAATGATAAAACAGTATAGCTTTCTTCCCTTGACACCAGTTTTAACTTCATGGTAGGTGAAACTCTGTATGCAGCAGCCTTGAGTAAAGCCAGCCAAAACTTCTGTGTTAGCGCACCTTGGTTTCGGACATAAAAATTATCTTTCTAGGTTCAGAGTGAAAAAAACTAAGTAGTAAGTGGAAAAACAAGAAGGGAGAAGAAGCAGCTACAAAGATAGAAAATAGATGGTTTTGGTGCTTTTATTATATTTTTGAATTTTAATAGAATTCTTATAGTATTATTATGGTATTCATAAAAGGGTTATGATCTTACTGCAATAATTGTAGCAAATATCCTAAAAGTTAAAATAATGTTGGATGCTTGATATGTGGATGATATTTTGTGGAGTTTAATTTTTTGTTTTCATACTTTTTTCTCTGAAAATCTGAATAAACTGCTTATGCAATACTCTAAGTTTGACTAGAAATTATCTACTGTACTACTCTAAATAAATTACTACTATAGAGTAATATGGTAATAACTACATTAACATTCTTTTTGTGTTATGAAGAGTATTTTCCAATACTTTCAGTAGACCACACTTTTCCAAGGATTTTGAATGGTAGCTGTTCATGCTAGTCTCTATTTGTGTCTCTGCCATATGGTGCTGATGATGCTACCGAGGCTGATGTTCACCTGGAGGGTTTATAAAGTGCTACATTCTTGTTTCTGGGGGAGTCTCTCTGTGCAGTGCCCTTTGCTGCTAGAGAAATGGGTCTCATCTGGAGTACCCACACAAGCCTTTGCTGATCCATGTGCTCATCTTCTCGGATACGTTTGGGAAGCCTTTTTTGACCAAGTCTTCAAAGGTAACAGTTGCTAAAGCATTGATGCTGGCAGCTACTGTGCTGTAGGAAGGGAGAAGAATGGTAAGTAAATAGGAAGCAATATAATCTGGAATCAAGTTGTATTTCTATAGAAATTCTTCCTCTTTTTCAGCTCTAATGGTCTCCAGGAACTATATGATTCATAGCATTTTTCATATGTGCTACTTTAACTGGGGAGGTTTTTGCTGCTTCTGCAATTGCTGGGGGTTCTGCTTTGTGCTGGCATGGAACAAGATAAGAACACATCCTAACTGACCCTTCCTTTTACAAGTTTGCAAAGACCTTAAGTATAGACATGTTCCAAAATTAAAACCTTACTCCCTCACAAATTGAAGAATGTGCAGCTGCCACCCTGGTCCTCCATGAATGGCCCAACTCTTTTAGCTGGGTGAGTGAGCCTGTCTTTGGTGAATACAGTTCAGATAGACGTACTGAAAATGTTTATACCTCTGACTATGATATTGTGGTAGTTACCTGAAGTAACGACAGTTTCACCATAAGCAGCTCCCAAGAGTATTTTGGGAAGTTAAACTCAGTTTTTCTACACTTTCTTTGTATTGGTAACATTATTCTAAAATGTATTTGGGATAAAAAGATACTGGACATGTGGAGTTAGACTTTATCATAAACATAATAATAGAATTATTTAGGTTGCATAAGACCCCTAAGGTCACAGAGTCCAATTGTTTACCCACCACTAAACTAAGTCCCTAAGTGCCACATCCACATGCCTTTCAAATATCTCCAGGGAGGTAACATAATTCAACAAAGAACTATTGCTACTTCCTAGAATGTTCTAAGAGAAACAGCTGGGCTTTTTGTAGGGTTTCATATTTTGACCTCATTCTGGATCCTGAAGAAATTATCGTAAACAGCTAAAATGTAAATTCAGATTCACAAACCTTAGTGTTCCACTAAATGCACAGGCAACAAACAGTCCTGGGACTCCTGGCATCGAAGCAAAAATGTCCATAACAAAGTACGGCATGAGCTGGGATGGAAGGAGCACAAGAGCAACACAAGAAATTAATTAAGGTGATGGAAGCAAAGCATTTTATATTTATTAGCATGGTGCTAAATTCTGGTGTTGTTCTGAATAACATGGTTTCAGATTTTGAGCAAAGGGGGGATGTCTTTTGGCAAAAGTACTCAATTGAATTAATACTTCAGGAATGCCAGAATAGATGATATTGTAGCCCTGATCTAGCACCCACCTTAGTCCCTGAGTGCTGAAAGGACATAGAGCATTGCACAAAATTAGATTGTCCTGATATGTGCTGTATCTGAGCCCAAAGCAGCTCCTAATTATTGTAATGGACATCTGTACCTGATCAGGAGCAGAAATGAAAGCAGCAGTCCAAGGGTCACAGCTCTTGTAATGAGAGTACATCACCAATCCACAAAATACTGCACACACTAGGACCGTCCAAAGTCCCAATAAATTCAGGTAAAGTGCCCTAGGGCAAAAGAGGGAAACAGTTTAATGGAAGATAAATTAAAAACTGTTACAAGATATTTATTCTGAACTTTTTTTGGGCGATCTCTTAATCCCAACTGGTTATATAATTCAATCTGGCTGTATAATTCAAAGAAAGATTTAAAAAATTTAAAAAAGGAAAAGTACACCATCCCTATGCAATCAGGCAAGGATAACATTTCCAAGCCAACTCCATAGAACTGGGAGAGTCAACTAACCTCAGCACAGAATGGGCTGCACTGAGAGCTGGGTCTGTCATTCCTGTCCCTTGTAAGAACAGATTTTTGCCTGCTCCCTTTACAGCACGCAGAATATTGTCGTCACTGTTACCATGTAAAGTAACAGTCTTGGTGGTTTTTCACTGTTCCATGAAACGGATGTGGGTGACAGCGTCTGCTGGGAAGGTTGTGTGGCTGTGGGTCAGCAATCCTGCAGGTTCCGAGAGCTGCCAGGATTTGAAGAGCTCATATCATGTCTGGACATCACCTTGCACAAGATCTATTGCTAAGGCCAGTTCAGAGTGTGCTACCAGGAAGCAAAGGTTAACCCAACTTGTTACTAGTGATCTTCTCGCTGGTGTGACTTCTAAATGCTTTTCAAACACTGAATTTTCTACAGGATGAATGCACATAAACAGTCATGACTGTCAGAGAAATTAATGGGTTTACAGACAGCAAAAAAGATCTTTATATTGTGAAGATTCACTTTGTTCTTCTTTGATTCTGATTATTCTCACACTGCAGAATTTTAAGAAATTATTAAGATTTATTTTTATTTAGGTAATACCTTGTATTGTAGTGCTCCACCAAATCAATAACAACTTTTAATCCTGTATAACATAAACAGAGTTCCAATAGATATGTTTTTACAATGAGGTTGTAGATAGCACAACTTCAGTGTTGGCATCCTTGCCATACTCTCCTTCTGAGGGTTAGTTTGTCAGCCTGATCATAAACTGATAAGCTGCAAGAGATAGATTTCTCTTTTTCCTCTGCATATACTTAAGTAATTTTGAGCCAGAGGTACTAAGACTGTCAGAGTAAAATTAGCTTACTACCACCTAATGGCATCCCAATATTTATTTATCATATAAATACATGTTGTTTGTCAGTATAGATTACAAACTTAGTGTAATTCTTGATTGATTGCAGGAATAGGTTAATGACAGGTACTTACAGTTTAGCATGCCTTTCTGATTTGCAGGAAATGCATCTCTGTATTGTGGACTGATTGACTCCATAGAGCCCTAGCCAGGTAAATGTTCCCCCAATAACTATTGTCCAGAAGGTATGTCGTCTCAAAGGATCAACATCGAAGCTGGAAGAAAGAAAGAAGAGAAAGAAAGAAAGAAGCAATTAATTTTTTTATTTAAACACATTCTTTTCATCAAGAGGTAGGTGATTTTTTCAGAACTATCTGGTATGTCCTACCATCTGAATCAAAAATTCTGCATTGGTAATACTGTTTTCAGAACAGACGACATCTGATGTGTTCAGGGCTGGAAGTGTTTTACTTTTATATTGGAGCACATTGTTTTTGAGTCAGGATAAACAAATATTGTTCAGAGCTAGTCAGAGAATCACTTAATTTAGATTAGCCAAATTTATAAGGGTGCTTATGCTCAAACATCCGACCTGTGTCATAGTGTAGCAGACCTACAAGCCGTTCTGCCTGGGACTCCATCTTCTGTAAGGAACAAGGTTGCTTACCAAACTCTAAAAAAATCCAGCAAACTTTTGGTAATTATTAATAATTATTAATAATTTTATTTTACTTAATTATTAATCATAAATAATAATTATAATAGAACTTCCTTCATGAGAAATTGCTTCAGCTGCTGTGTTATCTTTGGTACAACAAAATTCTACTACTCTGCAAATCTAACTCACACAAGTATATCTTTCTGTGTCAAATGTGTAATCTTTGTAGTTCTCCTTGGCTTGGCTGGGACAGCAGATAACATTTGACCTTGCTGCTGGATTCTGTCACTGACTTGCCTTGATTAACCAAAAAATGCCCCAAACAGCCAAAGGAAGATCAGATTTCTATCCCAGTGCACTGGTGCACTATTGCCTGCTGCTGTGGTGAGCGCAAGTAAAACATAGTGTTTGTTTTAGGAATAGAAAATGAAAGATATATACAATTAGCCACTAAGATTAGCTCAGTTGACTAGAACATGGTGCTAATGGCATCAAGGTTTCATGTTTGATTGTGATTCCTCTATGGGCCATTTACTTAAGAGTTGGACTTGTTGATCCTTGTGGATCTCTCCCAACTAAGAATATTCTGTGTATGAAATTGGAGGCAATAACTGTGCTGCATTTGTAGCTGCACAAGGAAAAATGGCAAATCTCCCCTTCAGTTCAATCAAAGCAGACCTTTGATTTCTTGACGGAGTTAAGCTTTCTGCATTTGTAGCTGCACAAGGAAAAATGGCAAATCTCCCCTTCAGTTCAGCATACCTTTGATTTCTTGAAGGAGTTAAGCTTTTCTAAAGGTCAAATGCATTGCCAATAGCTGAATAGATGAGGAATGGACTTCTCGGAGTCACCAGGGTTGTTTAATAACAAGTCTGTGTATTTTTGGCTTACTGAAGGTATGATTTCTAAACACTAAATATACAGACAGGAATGGTTTGCGTTATTTGTTTCTTACTCAAATATGTTTAGCCGAGATCCTTCATGGGCATCTTCCCAGACTTTGGTTGCTCCACCATTCAGGCCAGTTCCTCGAATCAAAACCGCCACGAAGCCAGCCACCATTACAACCATTTGAAATGCATCTGTCCAGACAACAGCTTTTAATCCTCCCTGGAACAAAGAGAAACTGTACACCCCCAATCTTCTTTCCTGTTGCTCAAGTATGAAAAATGTAGCAAGACTCCTTATTTTGACAGCTCCTGAGCTGTATGTACAGCACCCAGGAAATCAGGGCTCTGTCTTCTCCCACAAAGTGCGTATTTTTGCAGGTCGGAAAATTTCACAGCCTAAATAGTTTGTCCACGGGCACAGAAGAATATTTGACTTTCAGTGAAAAGCTTTTTTTTTCTGCCTCCTTTATTTGAAGAACATGTCATGGTGTGGAACAAATGCTTAGGGAATTTTGGCCAGTTCCTACATCCCATAGATCTCCATACGTTCTCAGAACCCACAGTTAGTCCAACACAGAAAAATAGCTCCGGAAAATTTGCCATTCAGCTTCTTCCATAGCTTTCACATTTGATCAAATCAGTACTGGAGCACATAATAAGTGTTTTCAACAGGAGTGGAGTGGTATATTGAAAAAAAATCATTAGTGGCAATGAGAATGGCAATTAGTTTGTGTCCTGAGCCACAGGGCTCTGCTGCTTCACTGCAAATATCTATACAATATATCTGGTTTGGAATTTGGAGTCTCATGTTGCTTCCACTCAAAATTAAAGCTCTCTGACCTGTTGATTATCCTTCCTAGGTTTTAGCGCTTTGTTCTTAAGCACAATTTTCATTGCAGTGTTTTTCAGCCTATAATTTGTAAAAGATAAGAATCATCTTTTCAAAAGAAGACAGGGGAAGCTTATTGCCTCCTTATCTGCACTGTCTCAAGATGTCTGGTTTAAACGTGGAGACATACAGCAGGGGATTAGAGAGGATTTTTTTTCCTCCAAATAGACTTCCTTGTAACACAAAATGTGGAAGAAATTTATCTCTGTGTTCTCCACAGGAGCCATCCTTCTCTGATAGTGTGTCATGTTTAAAGGATGGTCGAATTAACTGTCTGTGTTCCATCTGTTCAGTTCTGTCTGTTACATACCAGAGTGCAATAGAAAGTGCAGACAATTCCTGTTGCAGCTACAGAGCCCCAGAGATCAAATCCAGTGACTGCGAAACCAAAGAAAACAAAATTACTAGTGAAGTGGGTGTGAGTCATCTGGAAGGTAGCAGAAGAGCTGTAATCCTTTAGCTTTAAAAGGATAGGAGTAATTACTAATTTTCATCTTTTGTGTCTGTTAGGAGCTTTCCTGGATTGTTCAAGTTTTGTAGAACTTCTGGATACTGTTTTGCATTGTTGTTTTCTTTCAAATTGAAATTAACTTTCAAGCAAAAGTAAGAATACTTGCATAAAGCAAAAATGTCATTCTGATGGGACAGAGCTTTATAAGCAATGCTTCACTTCTGTTCTTAGTCCAGAACTTTGTTTTGAGAAACCAAGTTTTTCAGAGACTCACAAAAATCCTAAGATGAAAAAACCCTCAACCTCTAAGTAAATTCCATTACCTGCATCTAAGAATGCTTTAATGCTAAAATGGGCTTCATGGAAACAAATTTCTGTGTTCATTTTGCTTCGTAAAGTTTCTTTACACAAAATGCACAAATTTTGTTCTGGCTGGTACTGAAATCTCTCCCACCAATCATAGTCTGTGAGGGCAGAAGCTATTTGTAAAGGTTCTCTTATTAGCAAAGTTAGTATGGTGTAATAATGAATGAGAACTTTCATGTGGAATTCAGCTGCATGACAGAGGAAGAAAATTGGGCGCTGTGTGAATGGTGGGATCACTCTGAATGCAGCTCAGATAACGAACAAAGAAAAGAGCCTCACAATCCCTTCCCAGTCAGTTGTGGTAAAATCAGGATTTGGGCCATAATGATTCTTGTGCCCTATGACAGCAAAATTACAGATCTCATCTATAGTGATGGATGCTTTATGCCTAGTTTGCAAATATTAGTTGAAGTTTGGGGGCAGACAGCAGAACAGCATAAGTCTCTGGCTGCAGGGAAAAGAGTTATTCCCATGGAAACCTGAATACAAGAGACAGGGACGGGGGAATCAAAGTACATAGTATGGTCTTGGATCATCAGCTTGTACTGTGGACTTTGTCAGGATGTTGGGAAATTGTTTGCTTTGAGTCTCTTCAGGTGGTACTGAGTGGGAAGGAGAGCAGAAGAGCAACCACGAGGCTCCTGCTAATGTTTGGGAGTGAGAGGATCCTGGGGAGTCAGAAATGCAGAGCTACAAGGTGAAGGCAGAAACCTTCTTACAGAACCTTTGAGAAGGGTTGGGTTTTTATAATTTTCATTACTTTTTTTACTCAAGCAATCCCTCTGGTGTGGTTATTTGGGGTAGCAGTGTAGTGCAACATAAGAACTCACCTTGGTTGAGTGCCAGTGACGGAGCATAGACCACTATTCCTGTGTAAAGAATCTGAAGGAGAAAAATCATGTATTTGAATGCTCAGTTATAAAACTTGTATTTAGAGTAGGGCTCTGAGCAAAATACTACATCTAGGGGTTTCTTTAGATCAGCTTGTATTGCATATGGCTTTCTGTTTCAGCCCTTAAAAATTAAAATCTTGTGTTTAGTTCCTTTCTGAGGGAAGTACAATTATCTGTCTTTCTATTACCTATTTCTCTACTGCTAAGGCAAGTACATGAAGAAATACCCTCATTAAATAGAAAAATGGTATCTCCAGACAACACAAATAGTGATACAGAAATAAAGTTGCATTGATCTTAGAAATTAAATTTTCATTTTTCCATTCAATCTCTTTCAAAGTAACTGACTCAATACCTTTTATGTGTGAGATCTGAGAGAACTGATGGAGAAACAAAGTATCAAAGTCACTAAGCATTCAGATCTATTGCCAAAGGTTTGGGAATTATTAAAATAGAATTAATGCAGAAGGAAATGTCTCCTAATCTCCATCAAATCCTATCTTTACATTAAATACATAAATAATGTAACCTTTCAAGATGGTCACAGCAGTGACCGTCATGGGACTGCAGCTAGCAGGGCATGTGTCCAGGATACCTTGTACAGCAGATTTCAAACAGGATAGTTCACCTCAGTGTCATGAATGGGTAACTAAACATATCCAGTGAGGCTTGACCAGCTTCTCAACAAAGACAGAATCCACTTGTTTGGGAAGAGAGAGACTTCCAGTGAACGTAATGTGACCAAGATGAGAGTACAGCACAACATCTGAGTGTTAAAGACAACTAAAATGGCATTCTTAATATTAAACAGGAAAAGTCAGGGAAGTTAGTTAAAAATACAATCATATTTCTTTTTAACATTCATAGTTCAAGTGAAAAAAACTAATAAAAAAGAGTACTCATTAAAACATCTCATTATAAAAAATGTGCTGTATGAGACTAGTCCGTGAAAATCAATGTTGAGTGAAATTAGCATAAAAAAAGTCAGTGTTGTCTTACCGTCTGGAGGATGTAAATCAATGTTGCAGCAAGACGGACAATCTTGTTAAATCTTAACTCCAAATACTAGGAAAAAGTGTAATCTCAGTAAAGTGCACATGTAGCATCTGTGACACAGTTGTTACCTTTCTGTTTGCCCCAAATGACACCTTACTGTGTAAGTAAACTTGCTGGCACTGCTGCTATGAGCAGCTAATGAGGAGAGCAGGAATGTCATTAGACAGAATGATAATTACATTTAAGAAATCAATCTTCTCATCTGTACCAGGTATGTGAAGTTCTGTATTGGGTTGCAGTAATCAGTACCTTCTTTGCGCCAGGAATAACTGGAACATCCCAAGAACGATAAAGAAATTTTAACTTCAAATGAAAGTATATTCACTCTCTACAATGAGGAAACTTGAGCTCATCTCTAGCAGAAATAGCATCGACTCCAGTAGTGACAAAAGTGGAGGTGGAGCAGATGGTGAAGCAGCAGCAAGGAGTTCCCTGGTGCAGGAGCTAAGCTGGCTTTCCCCCTTGTTCTGTCTCAGCCTAAAGCCAAATCTGCACTTCACCAATATGGAGAGACATGAAGGGAGATCTTATGGACTTCCAGGCTCAAGGATGTGGAGAGGTGTTGCCACCTTCAAAAGAATGGCAGAGGTGAGTGGTTCTCTAGACCCAAAAGCCCAGGTTTTAAGGCTGAATCACCACCTGGAATCTCTGCAGAGTCTCTCTGCCCTGTGGCAGCCCCCATGCAGGGAGGCTCTTCTTGGGCCACAGTCCCATGTGCCCCCCAGCAGGCATGGCCTTTACGAGTTTTCTTTTTTTTACAAGTCTCTAGGCTGTGCACTTTGTACTGCCAAAGCATCTTTCTTTTTTCTTTTTTTTTTTTCATTTTCTTATGCTGATCTTATGTTTTTTGCATAATAACCCCCACAGACTGCCATATAAATACATGGCTAATTTATGTAACTTGACCTATTTCTAAAAATAATGCTTCATCATCCGGTTCATGCTTAGTTGAAACTGCCCACAGAGGAGCAACCAAACTTGCAGGAGCTGACTGAAGTGAGTAAGAAGCCACCCAAATGGTCAGTAGCTGTCCTGTGAATGTGCAGGTTATAAGGGCTGCTACTGGACTGTGTTATGGAGGAAAAAATGTGTTCCAGAGAAAATGCCAGGCAAAAAACTCTACAAAATTCAGAAGTCATTAATTGCTTTTCCTAGAGAATGCTTGAATTCATTCTCCAGCCCTGACTTTCTTGTTTTCTTTTTTCTTTCTTTCTTTCTTATTTTTTTTAAACAATCCTGCCACCTTCTTTCTCTTCTTCCCACCTCAGCTACTTAGATATAGTAACTTGGCCAAAATTACCATATCTAGACTAAGTTTGAATTGGATAGTATTGAATGTTGTTCTTAAAGTCTGTCTTCCTAAACCAGAGCTGAATTCTCAAAAGACCAGAAGCATCTGGTTATGCTTAAATATTTTCCAGCTGTAACTTAATTTTGTGCTGTGTGTAAACCCGTGTCCTGTCTGTGCATATATGTGCATAAAAGGAGCTCTGACACTTAGACTGTGATTTCAAATTATGCAATATACATAACTGGTTTAAATAATGCAAATTATTTCTAAAAATAATTAATGTATCAATATATTTGTTCTGTAAAACAATGCAGAAAGCTTTGTCAAAGATTTTTCTCTAAAAAATATATGCATGATAATTAGTTATGCTAGAATAATGCCTTTATTTTATGATTTTTACTTACCTCATAAGTGCTTGTGATGCCAGATCTATAAAAAACAGGTAGAAAAAGTTCAGAAGTAAAAATGATGACAAGTGTATACGTAAGAAAGAAGAGCACAAAGGATGCCCCATAGCGATAAACCTCGGAGGGTGTCCCCAGGACTGTCACTGCTGACATGAAGCTTGATGTAAGAGAAAAAGCAATGGGTCCACATGTCATCTGCTTACCGCCCACCAAAAACTCCTTTGAAGTTTTCTTTTTCCTCTCTTTAACTGCAAAAAAGACTCCAATGCTGGCAGAGACTAAAAATAGTGCTGCAAAAACAACATAGTCCCAAGTCACGAATTTTTTTACTGCTGGAGCTACAAAGTCTGGCATTGCACCAATTGTATAATTCTCTGATGGAAGATTCTGGTTTACTGTGTCTGCTGCTCTGACCAGATTGACTCTGTTGACAGCAAAACTGAATCTTATCTGTAGCTCAGCAATGACAAAAAATAAACTGGAAGAGTGTTCAGCCAGAACACTTTTCTAATCCAGTTCAGTTCTAAGGAGTTAAAAGAAAAGGTAGCTAAGGATGAGTTAAGGAGGAATGCACTTAGGCCCAAGTACTGTGGGTGCTTCTGCCAGGCAAGCTGAAATAAGGGACTTAGCTGTGAAATCTGTAGTACAATCCCTTTTTATCTGTGATGTGTAAGTTTAAGGTTAAACATTAGCTTGGCACATTGATGATCCAACTCTTTTCTAATCACTCAGCATTTTTAAGTAATGAAATGAGAGCAATAGAGAAAAATATAAAGGGGAGAGAAAGGAAGGGAAGTTCAGTGTACAAACCTGTTGTCTCACTAGTGAGTTGATTTTCAGAGGAGCAGTTTCCTCTTGTGATTAAAAACTGATCTTGAATGCCAGCAATAGGTTTTGCAGCTGTACATTGAGGTGCTCAATGTGGTCCTGGGTAGAACCTCTGGAACTTAAGGTGGCCATAAAGAACTGAAGTGTTTAATGGTTAAAACTAAGTATGGTGCTCCCCCTCACCTGCTGTAGTTCAGCTTTGGTGTTTGGGAACCCAATGGACCTCCAGATGAACAGAAATGTGATTTGTGCTGCACTGTCTGAGGGTGAATTTCAGTTAGAAACTAATTTCTAACTGACTTCTACAGTATAGCTTCTATGGGTTCATGTGAGAAATTACTTATTCGATTTATCCATATAAAACTTTGTTGGACTTACAGGACTACAGAATCATAGAAAACCAGATTGAACAGCAGCATTTATCTTAACTATGTCTTTGGCATAATTTTGTAAACTCAATTATTAGGTTTTCCTTTTGTGTTTTTGTTTTAAATTATTGAACATTCATTTTACCCTCATTAACGCCATAACTATACATTTTCCCAAGAAGCAGAGAATTACTTGTCATCCTGAAGGATTAACTTGTACAGAGAGGTAGTGTGTGTAGTCACAACCCTGAAGGAAGGGTGGAGGGTGTATTGTGAAGAAAATTTAAAAAAAGAAATTATGTAACCTGGGAGAGCTTTAGAAAGCAGAAGTCCTTTTCTTCAGCCTTGTCCCGGTTAGGGATGGATCCCCACATCTTTTTCCTAAGTCATTGGTAAATAGAGGTGGTTTTGCTGTGTCAGTAGCATTTTAGTTTGTGTCCAGACCTGAAGTCTTGCCTGTTCCCATCCATTGCTCAGGAGAAGGACTTCTTCTTACCATGTGTGCAGTGGAGATTGCGCAATTTTATAGCTGATTTTGGTGAGACTGAGGGTGAAATTCCCCTTTTATTGCCAAATATGAGCTAAAAAAGACAAACAAAAAAGATTGCGCAATTTTATAGCTGATTTTGGTGAGACTGAGGGTGAAAGGGGAAGTTGAAATTCCCCTTTTATTGCCAAATAAGAGCTAAAAAAGACAAACAAAAACCCCAAACCAAAGATACTTTTTTAAAGGTATTGCTGCCTACAGAGAAAACACTTTTAGTCCCCGTAAGTTAAAAATATCAAGGTGCAGGTTTGGGACCAATGACCCCAAATCTATGAAAGCCAGGTTATGGATGCAGCAGTTGCCACGGCACACCACTGTGTAACCTGTGACCCCTTGGTGGTGAGATGGAGGGGCCAGAGGAGACAGCAGTGAGCCACATTCCGTGGTGTGGATCAGAGTCAGTGCAGGTAACATGCTGAGAGTTTTCACACAGCTCTATCCAAGTATGCAATCAAAACTAGTTAATATTTCTCTTTTGTACAGACCAAGTGCCTTAGTGTGTTACACTCTCAAAAAAGCAACCAAGCATTGCTCTGCCTTTGAGAGGGTGGGTTTTTTGTTCCTGTTGCCTTTTTTTTTCCTTTCCCCCCCCCCCCCCCCCCCACCTTTTTGCTCTTCTCTCCTTTTAAGTGTGGATATGGATATTTTCTGCATGTTTTATTTCATACCTACAGGGTTATATTAATAAATGTCTCTGGCCGTGGTGAGAGCAGTGCCATCACAACAGGGAGTTTTTGGGATCAGCCACCAGCCCAATCTGGCAGGAGGCTAATTTAATGGTGTTTGTATGCAGCTTATAGGGCCAACCAGGAAAACCATAGATCGATCTATGGGACATCAAGTGAATTCACAAAAAGATGCAAAACCCTCAAACTTGAGAGTATTTCTTCTTAAATTTGAGCTGCTGAACATGCACTATCTGAATAAGGCCTCATCAATCTTAGAACACTGAGAGGGCGGAGAACTCAGCATTGAGATCTGCACTAAGGAAACTGTTTATAAAGCTTTGGATAAAAAATGAAAATATAAAGCAAATGATAAAATAATCATCTAAGTCAGAAGGTTTCTCTCCTAGTCATGTTACCAAAGAAACTGTAAGTGGAAGATCCCTGTAATATCCATTCTAGGAAAATAAGTGTGGTGTAATAATTCCTACTGGCATAAATATAAGCCTGCAGAAATTTTTTTAAATTTACAAATGTTTTTTCCAGCAGAAAAGTGGGAATTTTTTGAATGTAGTATTTTACACAAAGTAGGAAAAAACTAATGGAATAACAAACTGAAAATCACTCTAAAAATGTAAATTTGTGTATTTATCCTGCCATACTCTTCTGACACATTTTCAGCATCGTGTCATGAGGTTGTTCGGAATAACCATTTTTCCTAAATCTCAGACAGAAAAAAATAATATAACTTAGTAATACAATTTCTGGAGAAAAATTATTTTTAAATAGTATGGAAACACTTGTTATTTTGTCGTGATGTTATTCTTTATGTGGAAATAATTGGTATTTTTATTTCCTTGAAATAATAAGATTATTTTAAACTTATTTATGCAAAAAACTAATGTTTTTTTTGTGAAACTAATTTTTAACCAGGGTAACCCAAGGAAGAACCTTCACTTTTTGAAGATTCAATACCTCTTCCAAAAGCTGACCAAGGATCGGACAAGAAATTCCCAGCTGAGCGTTTCACTTTTCCACTCCATGCTCTATGCATCTGAGGTTCTATGTCAGGCCTCATTTCAACATCTGAAAAAAGCACTTGAGGATAGCAAAGTTAAGGGTGTGACTAATGAGCTGCAGCCTGACTTGCTGCAGTCAGGCAGGAAAACTTGCAAGGAATGACCTTTTCCATGAGCTGCTGTCCCTTTTTGCCTGTGACTGGGGAACGTAAGAATAGCCTTTTGAGGGGAGAGGAGACACAGCTGGGTGAATGGATGTCTATCATTGCGTATTTCAGTGTGGGATCAGGGAAAAGACAAACCTTTATTTAGCATTCTGTTGGCTTGAGAGTTGAGCATTTCTTGCAGCGCTTGCAAGACGCACCTGCCTTATCCTAAAATGCAGAAAGTGATGCTGTATGTGCCACACCGTGCATATTTACAAGCAGTTCCCTAGGAGGAACCTGAAGACACCTCTGCCTAATGCTCTCACCACCACAGCTATGTTGTCCACTCTTGTTGTCCTTTTTTCTTCTTTTTCTCCTTACAATGAGAGCTTTCTGTTTGGAGTAAAGGCTGGTTTGAGAGGATAGAAGTCATCCCCCTCTGAGGCCAGGCTAGAATCATGTAGTCTGATGCTCAGTCATCAGATCATGAACATTTTGCTGGCTTCAGTTGACTTAATCTGCTAGATTTGTCATGTGTAACAGCTCCAGAACCTGACCCTTGATCCAAGGCTGACTGATCACTAGTACTGAGAAAAAGAAAAATGAGTTTTGAATTCTGAAATTATTCTAAATTTTTTTCATCTTATACGCTTATTTTGTTGCTAAAGTCCAGTAGTTGAGTCTGAGATCTGTCCACTGTTACAAACATAAGTGTCATTCTGTAACATAATATCAAGTCACATATAAATTTGATATCCCTTTGTTGATATCCATTTATTGGTGCTACTTTAAATGCTTAGATCTATACGTAGAAAATACACTTGATTTAATTTACAAAATTAAGATCTTCTCACAGGTTGTATACTTTGTATAGTATCCATAAACAGTAATAGCCTTTAAATATTATTTTAAAAAACCCCAAAACAAACAACATTACATGTATTTCTCTAAGGAAATGATTTCTAACATTTAGGTCAGACAGTTTCTCTGTTTAGTATATTGCTTTCCACTAGTAGTCATTTCAAGTGCAACTGTTGAGTAAATAAATACCTGTGCAGTACTGAAGGATTTTTTTTTCTCCTTCTAACAATGCAACTAATAGAATAAATTATGTGAATAATATATTTTGCTAAAAAAACCCAACTGTTTTGCTGTATCCTAATACAAAACGAAATTAGTTTCTTATTCCTTTTCAATATCTTTCCATATCAAGCTGTGAAAAATTCATAGAAATATGCACTGGAGGATTTAAGTCACATTTGATTGGATAGGTGAAAAAGAAGTGATAACTAGTTTATTGAGAAAAAGTAAAATTCTGGAGCAAAAAAAAAAAAAGCACTGAAAACTGTGTCTTCCAGAAATCCTGTTAAACTTAGGGGTTATTATCTTTCCTTGACAGTGGACTTTGGTTTTTCTTAAGAGGCTCTTCTTTAATGATTACTCTTTCCTCAGAAAGTTTGCCCATTTGTCTATAAAAAGATGATTATAGTCCAGTAGTATAAGGAACTGGAGGTATTGCTTACAGTTTCAAAATAGATCATTCTCTGGGTACACAGAGTCCTCCCTGTGGGATTGTTCTTCCCTGGAAGTGCCAGGTCACATCAGGGCACCCGGTGGCCTCTGTGGCCAGTGGTCACCAGGACCCATCCAGTCCTGCATCCTCTACTTTCATTGTAGGATGCAATGTGGATAGATAGAATGTAAAAGAAGAGACATAGTGGTGAAGGTAGGTAATCTCACCGCTAAGGAGTTACAGCTGTGCCAATTATCAAGCATTAAGAACAAGCCTGCCCTTAATAGGCCACAGGATCCAGTTAGGAGGGGTATTGTAAAAGAGCAGGTTGGCTGGTCAAGGTGCGAGATGGAGTTTGTTGGCTGTGCAGAGGAGAAGGAGTCAGTGCTGTGAGGAGCTGCCCCTGAGATATCACTCAGAAGGTATGAAACCTTTGCAACAAGATAGCAACAATGCAAAGTTTGTGGAGCTGCTTGCAAACGCAATTGTTCACTTTGTGAGCATTTTTCAGGAGAAAAATGCACGGTTT